GTGTGGGCCCCCCCCCACCTCACCTGCCTTTTCTTTCTCTGCCCCCAAATGCGTGTCTCCTTTAGCAAGAAGTCCCAGAAGTGGGATGAAATGAACATCCTGGCTACCTACCATCCGGCGGGCAAAGACTATGGCTTAATGAAGATCGACGAGCCCAGTACTCCCTACCACAGGTAACGACGCTCCGCTCATGCTCACCCTCCGAGTCGCTCCTGACCCAAACGTTCCACTGCCAGGGGAGGGGTGGAGGCTCTGCCTCTCAAGCCTGGGACTTCACCCCCCCTCCCCCCCACGCAGGGTTCCGGAACCTGAGGGACTGAAACCAATCACTGTTGGTGCACGGAGGAGGAGGAGGAGGAGGAAGGCCGCTTGGAGCAGGGCAGAGTCACACAGGGACACCCCTTGGAGGGAACCTTTGCTCGTGACTTAATGGAGAACTAGTGAATTAGGGATCTCCATAAGATCCAGTCATGAATTGCCTTGCCCAGGCCTGGCAAGCACGTGAATTTCTTTATTATCTATCTATCTACTGTATAGTGGTGGCTTGCTTAACGACGATAACCCGTTCCAGAAAAATCGCCATTAAGCAAAAACATCGTAAAGCGAAATTAAAAACCACATTGAAACCCGTTCAATTCCAGTTGGGTAAAAACTCACCGTCTAGCAAAGACCCTCCATACGGTGGCCATTTTCGCTGTCTGTACAGTGAGGAACCCACCCCTAGAATACAGCGGGGGGGGGGGCATTTTGAAAGCCAGTGGCCATTTTGAAGTTGCCGATCAGCTGTTAAAAAAAACATCGTTTTGCAAAGAATCAGTTCCCGAAGCAGGGAACCGATCATCGCAAAGCGAAATCCCCCCATTTAGACCATAGTTTTGCGATCGCAAAAAGATCATTGTAAAGCGGATTCATCATAATGCGGGACAATCGTTAAGCAAGGCACCACTGTATCTATCTTATTTTCTTCCCACACTACCCAAAGGTCTCTGGGCGGCTTCCAACAATTTAAATACAATAAAAGATATAAAGATAAAGTAATTAAAATGAAGTCATCAGGATCCACAGTTGATATTTTTTCAATTAAAAACCTTCTGGAACAGGAAGGTTTTGACCTGGTGACGAAACGTCATCAACATCGACGCCAGACGAATCTCCCTCGGGATGGCGGTCCATATTTCAGGGGCAGCTGCCGCAAAGGACCTCAATACATGGCGGAATTCCTTCTCCCACCAAGATCTACCCGAGTCACCCGTTTTAGCCAGGAAAGACGGCTGAGGGGCCTAACGCTGAGAGAGGCCTGGAAAGAAAGAACAAGAAACAGGGCCTTCTCAGCAATGGCCCCTTGACTATGGAACACCTTGCCACCGGAAATTACGTTGGCAGCCTCGCTGGGTGTTTTTACGAGTTATTTAAATACTTGGCTCTTTAGGGAGGCCTTCCCTCCAGTCAACACCTGATTCTCTTTTCTCTTTAGTTCCCCTTTTCCTCCATCTTGAACCTTTAAATTTATTGATTTAATCATGTGATATATTTTGATGCTTATAATGATGATTTTATATGGTTATATTTATGATGTTTTATAACTGTTGGTATGTCGCCCCGAGTAGACTCTGTCTAGAGGGGCGGGGTAGAAGTCAAATAATAAATAAATAAAATAAATAAATCCCTCTTACTTCCTGGAGAGACGGCTCTTTCAGGAGGACCCCCTGGCTAGATCGTAATGGCTGGGTAGGTTTTATATGGAAGGAGGTGGTTCTTCAGGTATCCAGAGCCCAAGCTGTTTAGGGCTTTATACATCAAAACAAGCACTTTGAATTGGACCTGGGCAGCGATGGCTAGCCAGTGTAATTTGAACAGAATCTGCCTGATGTATTCCCTAGCAGCCCCACCACTCACCAGCTGCGCATGGTCATTATTTATGGGGTCGTTCCATCTCACATTTTGTTTTCCTCTTTGCCTAGCATTTTTATCTTTTCTAGCAAGTCACCCAAACTACGACAATCTCAAGTCTGTCTTTTTCACTTTCTAGGAGCATTCACGCTAGATTTGATCTACCACCCACTTCTTTGTCTTTGTGATGGTCTGTGTAAAGCTTTCATCCAGCACCAGGTTTCAGAGGAATCCATTTTTTCCTTGTCAGCTTTATTCCTTGTTCAGCTTTTACACCCCTGTCTAGTAATCAGGAATATTGCAGTATGAATGGCGTGGGTCCTGGACTACTCAGGATTTTTTCCATTTCCTCTGTTGCTGCCCTTCTAAGTCTCAGACTTCTTATTTCTTGGCCAATGTGTAGGATTGATAGCTGAACAGTCCTGATTTCTGTATTGCCAGTGTTAAAGTTATAACTTACTCCACTGTGATTTTATGTTTGCATTTTCTTTTTTAAAAAACTTTCAAGTCATTGCTACTTTCCCTCAGTAACACGGTGTTGTCTTCACACTTTAAATTAGTTTTCTTCTTCTTCATGGATGATTAAATGTAGGGCTATGTTTGTGCACACTTTCCACAGCCAGGAAACTTGAACGAAGTCCTGGATTTTGTAGAGCTAAAGATTGGCTAGCAGGGTCTATCCTCCCTCGGAATTCCATGGATTTGTCCCATGGACACATTCAACTAAGAATTAATTAAAAATAATTAATTAGCAGAGCATGTAATCTGATATTGAGGATTCCTATCAGTTGTTTGTATCTGAGGTGGAAGATTAGTATTGTGGAAATATTACAACTTCTGTGCTACGCCTGAGTGAGATTCTGTACATTGACAGAAGCCCTTCATGGTTTTTCATGGCTTTTAAAACTTAAGGACAGGCAGGGGTGTGTTATTGCGAGGACCCTTCTGTTGCAGCCTCCAGTTCATGTTCATTTAAAAAATATGGTTAGCTTGCTTGCTTTGATTTTTATACCACCCATCCAAAGTACTCTCTAATTTTCAGCCCTGCCACTCCGCCTCTCTTGCCACATGACTTCACCCATGCGTGCGCCTCCGCCCCCGCACGTAGGGTTCCATTGCGACCGGAACTAAATGCGATCACTGCGCGGAGGAGGAAGAGAGCTGCGCAGAGGGAGGAAGAGTCATGCTCATGCAGGTCCAGCTTAGAGGGAACCTCCTTGCCCCCATCCGATCGATGGTCACTCTGGGTGGTTCACAGTCTTTGGGACATGGCCTTGGGTTCTTGCAGTGTGAAAGTACAATGGAGAAGCCCTGTCTGTGCACTGCCATGGGGCTGGGCTGGTTACTCAAAGGTATACAGTGGAACCCCCTTGTCCATGAGATCAGTATCCATGTCTCCATGGTCAGAAAATATTAAAAATACGAGGAAGAAAAAATTTCAGAAAAGCATTTTCACATACATTGTCAGAACTGGCCACTGGGGGGAGCCAGAGGCATGCTATGCATAGTTAGTGAAGAACATATAGAGTGCTTTCTCTATTATCCACAGTTTTCAGTATCCACGGGGGGGCTGCTTGGAACTAATCCCCAGCAGATATGGGGACCCTCCTCTACAGTCACGGAGCTGACCTAGTGCCAAGAAGTGTTCTTCCGCCACCTTCAGTCCTTTTAAGGAGAAGGGTGGGGTAAAACTATTTAATGTTAATGATAGTAATAACCGTAGTAGTTACAGACGGTGTGGTGGGTGGGTGGGGGCTCAGGCCCAAAAATTTTGCTGTGCTTTGGCCATGAGCTGGCTGTGATCTCAGCTGCTCCCCCAATCAGAAGTGGAGTGTTCCACCAGCTAGTGCTCCTGACAGTCTTGGTGTCTTTTGCCTCTTCAGGATGGCAGGTGATGATGAAGATGCAGGGAGCGACACGGAAATCAGTGAAGCCCCCGCTGCCGACCTCTTGGCTAAAAAGTAAGTGCTCCCACGAGCGGAGTGGATTAAGCTCCAGAGAGGAGAAGCACCTGCTGAGTCAGAGCAAAAGAAGCTGCTCTCCCTCGGGGACTCCGTGCAGGGCATCTCGGCAGGAGGTTCCTGGGGTGGTGGTGTAGGGAGGATGGGGGCGGGGCGGGCAGGAGAGACCTTTTGCTGTTTCCACACACACACACACACCCATGACTTCAGAGGATCAGAAGAGAAGTGATCCCACTGCGATGACCCCCTTTGTGCTCTGCTTCTGCCTTTCTGTGAGCCCAGGGTGGTCCCGAGTGAGTATGGCTTTGCGGCTACAGAGCTTATGAGGTCTCGGGCAAATTGGATTTGAAGTACATTTGGCTCTGGAATGTAGTGAGTGGTCCTGAGCTAGTAATTCTCTCTGCCTCACCACCCTAAGGGATTGGAAAAATTGCCCGTCGCTTTGAGTTCCCCAAAGGGAAGGTGGACTACAGACGTAACAACAACAACAGAAAGCATCAGTTAAATATTCTTTTTGCAGTGCTTGTCCAGGGAGCCCATTGACAGAAAGGCCTTCTCCGTCTCTGTCCTCCCAAAGGACTTCCAGGGTTGTACTGTAGTTCTGGTTCTGATTTGCTCTCTTCACCAAAGGTGGCGACACGTGGCCTTCAGGCCCCTGCACCCTCCCATTGTAATTAACAAATGGTTTAAGATTTGCTGTGCCTGTGAAGTCCCTTTCTGTCTTCTAGGTGTCGCAGAGGCAATTTTGCTACATTTTGAGGTCTTCCAGCACCCCGGATTTGTCTGTCATTAATTTACTGTGGTTTTGTTCACCTTTTGAGGCAAATCCCATCATGGGGAAGTTCATATCATTTAAAAAAAGAAAGAGGAAGGCCCTGCCATCAGACCACCAAGGAAGGCCAAGGAAAGAGAGGGGAAGGATGAGGCAGAAATAAGGTGGGGAAGAAAGGCAGGCTTTGGAAGTCCAGAGCAAAATGGTGAGCTGGAAGGCCGCCCGTCTCCCCTGCCGAGGCTCCGTTGGTCTCCCTGTGGCATGGGGTGGTTCTGGTGTCTTAGGCCAGTGTGTTCCTTTCTGCTTCCCAGGAAAAGGGCCAGAGGGGGAGGCTTCCAAGTGTCCCTACGCTGATGGAGGATGTTTCCTTCCATGGCCTCTTTCTGTCTTTTCTGCCCTGCCCCCCCCTTCTTCTGGAGAACTGAGTAAATTGCAGAGCCCACATAGAGGTGCCATTCCTGCAGGATCAATAGGTGATCCCGGTGATTCAGTTCCCTGTATTCATCGTGAAGCTCATGTTAATACAAAGTGGGACCAAATGGTGCCCTCCCCCTTGCGTGCGGCGGTAGAACAGGCATTTTTCTCAGAACCAGGTGGGGACTCTGTGGAGGAGATTTGTGCTGCTGCCTACGGAGAGGAGAGGAGAGGAGGTGGGGGCACCCTCTCGAAGGGGATGGTTTGTATGGGCACTGTTGGTATGACGCGGGGTGTGCCCATGAGGGGGGTCTTTTAGAGGGCTTGGCCTCAGATGTCCGATCCCTGAGGCTATTTTCAGTCAAATGCAGATTTCATTTTACAACATCAACAGCCTCACGGTTTCCAAGTCTGTTCTGTCCTCTTCTCAGCGTAAAATTGAACCACATCGAAAACGCCTCCTTTCAGTCTTGAGTGGCAGGGCTGTGGCTGGAAGGGGCGCCAGGGCCATGGGACGGGCGGGCTTCCTGTCCCACCCCAGGCGGGAGAGGCAGGCTGACCTCTCGTGGCGGGGGCTCTCTCTCTCGGCAGGTTGGCGGCTGCTGCAGCAGGCCAGGGGCCAAAGGTCCTGGCCCGTCAGGAGGAAAGCAGCGAGGAAGAGGAGGATGAGGCCGAACTGACTCCTGAAGAGCTTGGTGAGTCTGGCTTGGGAGGGCACTCGTGGCCAGAAGCCGCTGGGACTCTGGGCGGCTGCGGTCGTGTCGTTTCTGGGACACCAGAGAGCGAGAGAGAGCGCGCTGGGAGGCTGCGTTTGTCTGAGTTCAGGCCATTGCCCTCTCCTGGCGCAGAGGAGGTTCGCTGGTCCTTTTCTGCAGGTGTGTGTGTGTGCACGCACGCACGCACGCCCCCTGGTCCTTTTCTGCAGGTATGTGTGTGTGTGCGCGCGCACACCTCAGCCTCTCCATCGGTCCGTCTTGTTAACTCGCAGGGTTTGAAGCGGGAGGAAGCCAGCAGGCCATTCTGGGTAGTGGAGGGGCTTCTCTCAGGACATTGTGGCAGCCGGTGCTGTGGGCAGGTTTGGGATTAATGACTTGTCTCTGCCACAAGAGAAGGGATGTTGCCTTTTTTAACGTGGCCTAGTTCTGTAGCGGAACAACCATGTACACACTTATTCTCGTGGCCAGAAATTATGGCACTAATCCTGCTGTGGACGTGTCAAGCTTTTTGTTGCCAAGCAGCAAAACCTATTCCTTTGGCCTTTGGGTAACCCAGCAAAGGATGGGGGAAAGAGGATGGAGCCCCCCGCCCGCCCACGCTACTTTGTCTGTGATTTTCCTCTGAACACTGGTTCTCCAATGGCAAGTGGGATAATCTGTTTTGAGGGGTTCAGACATTCAGCTTCAGTCTTCCAGTTCAGGATCTGGCTTCATATTCCCAGCAGCATGTGGTTTGGGGCTGCTGGATCTTATGTAGGCCACATAAAGTGGCTCAAAAGCAAAATTAGGTGTAGCATCTGGGCGAGGGTCGTAATGTCTTGGATGTGTTTTCTTGGTCTTTGTGCAGAGAAAAAGAGACAATTTGAAATGAAGAGGAAAATGCACTACAACGAAGCTCAAAACATCAAACTGGCCAGGCAGCTAATTGCAAAGGAGCTCCACGGTGAGGCGGCAGAGGATGAAGAAGATGAAGAAGATGACGACGACGATGAAGAGATGCAGGATGTGGGGAAAATGACCCCAGAACTTGGTGAGCACTTCATTCACAAACTGCAGATGTGAGGCCTGCCCTGGGAAACTGTGACGGCTTGCATTCACAAGCTGCAAAGTGCAGGGGCCTTTTCTTGGGTGGGTGCTGGAAGGACGCTCAGCACAGAGGAGTGGCACCCTTGGCGGCTGCCAGGCCAAGATCTCCCCGCCACCATTGGCTGCCCTCGGCCAGGCTTCAGCTGCCCTGCAGCTGCCCGGGGAGCCGAGCCCCACCTTCTGAACCGACGGCAGGCTGTGCTTCTCGGGCTTGGCCTCGTTTGGCCTGCAGGGAGGACTCTTGCGGTGGACCTGGGAGGTGAAGAGACCCAGATGGCCGGCCGGAGGTGGTTCTTGTTCTTCTGCCCTGCCTCCTCTTCCTTTTTGCCCGAAGGCTTGGGCCGTTCCCTGCCCTCCGGGTTGGCACGGTTCCCCTTCCCTGGAGGAGGTCCCCTTGGTGTGCCTGAGCACCCCAGCCGCGGAGCCGCGAGGAGGCCGACAGGTGTCTTCCCTGAACCGACCCGTCGCATTTGTATTTGCATTCCAGATGCCGCAGCCCGCAAGCGGAATGTCTCCTTCTGCTTCAGCTACCGTTGACCCTGTGTGCGCCTCTTTGTTGGGGGGCCCCTCCTGCCCCCGTGTGCCCCTTTGGGAGAGGGAAGGCGCTTTCTCTTCCAAGCCTCTTCCTCCCCTCCCCTTCTTTGTGTGTGAATAAATCGAGCGCTTTGCTTTGACTGGCGAATGTCAGTGAAAACTCAAAAAGGAGGGCTGTCTGCTTCCCACCGTGTCAATCTCTGGGCCGTACCATTTGTAAATGCTTCTTGGCAGACGTAGGGGTGGGACGGGTGGGGGTGTGATGGGTCCTGGGGCCGTTATGAGTCCAGGTGCTTCCTCAGTGTCCTTCTCAGATGCCACTGAACTCGTGTTGCCCTGTATCCACTTGAAGGTGGGCATGGAGCTTGCATGGGCTGGGTGTGAATATTAAAAGGGAGCAGGGCCGGAAAGGGCACAATGCTGCTGAAGGCAGAGATCAAGCTAGGAGAGGGGCACCCACACCTGTGGGCCAGCCGGAGGGCAGCTGCTGGGTAGGACCCGGGATGCCAGCAAAGGATGTTCTTCCCCTGGCACGCCTGGATAGCCAGCGCCAGGAGAACCATGAACCGTGCCTCTGCTCATGGCGTCTGGCCGCTGTGAGCAGCCTTGGCTGGGCTTCCCGTAGAGACGAGAGTCCTGTGACGCTGGCGGTTGTGACGCAGAGAGGTTAGCCTCCTTTTGGGGGGTGGCGGCGATGTGGCGGGGTGGTTGGCAAGAAATGTGCGTGTTTTGTACCGGGAAGCACCTGTGAAGGCAGCAGAGGCACCTTTGTCCTTGGTGGGCCTGTAAAGAGCACCACACTACCTGCTCCTTCAGAGTCCCTCGCAGAGAGAGAAGAGCCCCGGCTGTCTTGGCAGGGGGCCTTGCCGCTGTGCCTGGGAGGGAAGTCTTGCTGGCTGGTCACTCCGGCCAGCTGCCCGGCTGGGGTTTCTTAAAGCTCCAGCCCCAGCCAGCTCAGCCGGTTCCTGGAGGCTGGTTACTCCTCCTCTTCCTCCTCTTCCTCCTTTCCTGTTTGGAGTTGGGGGGAGGAGAAGCTCAGCCACCCCTCTTTGGGGAGTGTCTGGGTAGCAGACTTGGCCTTGTCATCCTTTCCTTTCCGTGTAGGGAGGGGCGGAGAAGCTCCCTCTTCCCCTTCTGGCTGTGCTGTCCCAGCGCTGCGTCCGTCCCCTTGCAGGGAGCAGGAGGAGGAAGGCGTGAAGCCTGGCTTTGGTCAGAAAGTGCCGCGGAGGCTTCCTCTGGCTGACAGAGGGGCACCTTGGGATGGGAGAACGCAGCCGTCCCTGCGTCCCCCTTGGCTTCTCAAGCCTTGAGTTGACCTTGAGTTGGACCTGTTAGAGAAGAGCGCCTTGGGCTGAGCGGCCGGAGTGGGAGCCTTTGGCCGAAAGGCCCCTCTTCGAGCGTCAACTCTGACGGAGCGATGGTGGCGGCGGCGGCAGCAGCACGGGGGTCCTCTCTGCTCGGTGCTTTGCTTTGGGTGCTTTCATCTCAGAGCAGGGTGGGCTGGCTGAGGCCCCGAGGATTCCTCCTCCTCCTCCGGGATGGTCCCAGGGGCCAGTGCCGTGACCACTAGGCCCTGGGGCAGCTCTTGGCCTCTTTCACTACGGTGAGGTTGGGGTCCTGGAATGTGTTTTTTTTGCTTTCCTGCTTGCCTTGCTGGAAGGCCGTGTCGCTCCCAAGCCTCGGTTCCAGCTGCCTCCAGCCACCTGCTCTTCCCGAGTCTTTCACCGGGAGAGGTGTCTGGGTGAGGGCAAAAAATGCCCCTGCCCACTCCCTCGCCATGCACGGCACAGGGGGTGTGCCCCCTGAAAGCAGGAGGGAATCTCGGGGAGACCCTCCTCCAGGGAGCGGACTGGGGGCAATGAAGGCCACGCCACCGCCCTCCAGCAGCGGGGATTGCCCCCCTCTCAGTCAGGGAAGAAAAGAAGAGCAGGATCCCGAGTGGAAGGTGGCCGAGGCGGGCAGATGCTCCAAAGGCCTGCCCTGGCCTTGGTTTTGCCACGAGGGCCTCTTGGCCCCTGAAGAGATTTCTGGATCTGCGGGGGGAGGCCCTTCTGCATGGGGGGTGGGGGGGCTGTCACGGAAGGGGCTCCTCCTCTCCTGTCGTAGGCGCTTGGCCTTTGGGGTGGAGCTGGAACGTCTGACTCGGCAGATCTCCCTCCCTGCTGGTGGCTGGGGCAGAGAGCTTCTTTCAGGGAGCCCGCTCTAGAGGCAGGCCTGATCCTGCCCCACTCCTTTGGATCTTCCTCAGGTTCTGAGGAGGAGACCGTGCAGGCGAGGTCCCTTCCTGGCAGCAGGGTTGGACAGACAAGGCTAGGATGGCCCTCCCTTTGGAGGATCTGTCCAGGCATGAGGCGGGGCTGGCGCACGAGGGCAGACGGAGGGAGGGAGCCGGGGAGAGGCCAGCTGCCCGCGAGGGCTTCCTTGGGGCCAGAGCCTCCTCTTGGAAGGCGGCCGGGTGGGTGCCCTTCTTGGGTGCCTGAGGCAGTGGCCTCCGGGCATCGGCCCCCTTGGTCTCCCGCAGCCAGAGAAGGGTTGTCTTCCAACCGCCTGGGAGGGCAGCGGTGGTTCAGCAGAGGAGGCTTGTGGCTCAAAGGACCGGTGTGTGTACATCTGTTTGTCAGTGCCTGGAGAGGGACCCTGGTGGATCCCCTTCTCAGATGGATGGAGGCAGGCAGGGGTGGGGTTCCACTGATTTTTAGGAAAGGGCAATGGAGACTTTGCAAGCTTCTTCCTTCCACTCAGAAATTCTGTGTGTGTGTGTGTGTACACGCGCGTGCATGCACACGTGTGCTCTCTCTCCAGAACGTTGCCATTCAGGGTGAGAATGTGGGTTCCTTCTGCGAGCAGCGCTTGTGCTGTTGTCTATTGAAACAAAATTTAAAAATTATATTTCCGGCTGCCAAGGCAGAGGCTCTGCTCTCAGGGAAACGCAACGGCTGCCGCGTGGACGGAACGGGACAGGACGAGCTGCGTGCCTGATCAGAAACCCATGTCTGCTCTTCTCTCTTTCCTGCAGTACCTGCTCCTAGTGACCCGCTTGAGAACGTTGCCCACAGCCTGGAAGAGGCCTGCTCGGGACCGTAAAGCCACGAACGTTTGCATTTCCTGTGTCACGCTCCGGCCATTTTGGCGCCCGTTCTGTGGGGCAGCCAGCTCCCACTTCTCTCTTGCCAAGACTGTGAGTGACTGCTGAGACTCTTCCGTTAGGCAGCGGAGGCTCTGCTGGGCTGGCCAGGACGGGTGTCTCCGAGACCCAGGCAGGCTGGTCCGCAGAGAGGGACACTGTGCCGGCCTGGGGCTGTGTAGGCGACCTTGGCAGCCGCCGCCCGGCTGTCCACTTCTTTCTAGTTCTGAAATGGCAAAACGTCCAGTCCCTTGCTTTCTGCTCTTTTCTCTGGCGCTCCTTGTTAGGAGGAAAACGTTCCCATGCCTCGCAGGAAGGCTTCGGCATTCACGTGTCAGACCCTTAAGGCTTGGATGAGCCCCCGCCCCGCTGTCTTCTTAAGGGCACCCCCCCCATCCCACCCCGCAGATCTTACTTTAGGCGGCCGGTGTGCCACGGCAGATCTGAGTGGCCATGAGTCATCCTCGCCAGCTTTACCTGATTGTTCTGTTGGATGGCCGTGGCTTTGAAGGGCTGTTCCGTGGCTCGCTCTCCCATCAGACTCTGTGCCGCCGAGAGAGGCATCCTTTTGTCTTGCCGCTGGACGCGTTGTTGAGCCGCGCCTGAAAGCGCTTCCTGTCTGGGGTGGCTCAAGGCTCAGCCCTCTCCTGGGCTCCCTTTGGGGGGAAGCCTCGCCAAAGGGCTGCCTGCGCAAAGCCGGGGAGCGGAGGAAGGGCAGAGAAGACCCAGGCCTGGGATGTTCGCCACAGGAGCCTCTTGGCTGACGAATAAAGCCAGGGAGGGAACCAGCGGCCCTCGGGTGGGGTGGGGTGGGACAGGGGGACGGGGCGGCTTCGTTCTTCTTTTGTTGCACTGACTGGGAGCAGAAGAAACTCTTGGGTGGCTCCCTGCTCATTTCTTAATTTTGGTTTAAATTTGATGTATTGGCACAACTCGCTGTGACTGTGTAGTTCTGTTTTAGGGTGGCTTCACGTCCACCAGAAGTGTGTGTTCATAATACAAGGCGTTCTTTCATAGCTACGTTGCACTTGGGGGCTTTCTTAGCATAACCTTTGACATGGTGAGGCAGGGCAGCGATGTAGAGACTGAACCTTCTTCATCCAATGCCATGGGGCATTTTTCACCAGTGCAACCTCTTTTTGGAGAAAGGCCAGGGGTGGGTGGCTGAGGACTTGCCAGCGCAGAAGCGCCGCCTGGGTGACGGTTTGGCAGAGTGGCCTCTTTGCTGTGGAATGGTGGGCTGAGAGTGAAAGCCAAGGCTATTTTGTTTGGTGAGTGTGTTTCCCCAGAAGCTCTGGCGGAATGTTTTTGCAAGGGTGGGGTGGGGTGGGGTTTGTCTCAGGGGAGTTTATGTGCTGGTAAAGTGCAGGAAGGGACCCGGCGCTCAGTTCCAGGGCTCTTGACCCTCTGCTCCTCTGCCTTTTCTCCTGTTAGCTGGCTTAGTTTGGCAACCCTTGGGCTGGGCTGTTGCTGGGGTTCTGTACAAGCCACTGAGAGGAAACGAAGCCAGAGCCATTCAGGCAGAATGCGGTCAGAAGTCCTGGGAATATGGAGGCTATGACCTCGGGTGATATCTCTACTTTTTGGGGGAAAGAAAGTGCACACGCACGCACGCACGCACGCACACACACACACACACACACACACCAACTTTGGAGTTTGTTGCAAACTCTTGTGAATACAGCGTGCATTCTGTTTGACAGCACTTGGGGCCCCTAAAATGTGCCTAGGTCACCAGCTATGGATTTTGGATTTGGGGGCTGGATCACAGTTGGCCAGGCTTGCCGGTTCCTCGGTTTAATAGCTCGATCGCTTGGGAACCACAAGGCTCCTCAGTGTGGGCGAGACTACGTTGTGAAAGGCACTTGCTTTAATGTTATTGGGCTGGGCTGCTTCACAGCTGGTCTTCTTGGTGGTTACAGTCACGATCATCACAGGTCTGACGGCAGCGGCTGGCTCAGAGGACTGCCCATCTGCAAGCCCGTCTTCCTCTCCTAGGCGGGCTGGAGAGCCAGACCTGCTGTTGCATCAGGGGGGTCATCCAGCCTAGCCAGACTCGGGTTCCCCCTTGGGCTCAAAGCTAAAAAGCAACTGGTTGGCGGAACACCCCCCCCCTTGCAGGCCTTGAGAGGGGGGGACGGGCGACAGGTCAGAAAGGATCCTTCTTCCCTGGCTCAATACGTGAAAGGCGGGGAGGGGCCCTCCATCCTTCCATCGCCCGGTCCTGGAAGAGAAGGGCCCCCGCCTGACCCAGCAGGTTCCGGCTCTTCCGCTCCCTGGGTGGACTTTCCTTGGGTGTCTTTTAGAGAAAAAGGCAACCACGGATGGCCTGAAGGCAAAGCCTATGGCTGGATGTGCTGAGGTGCACACACGGGCTGGTCGTGTGTGTGATTGCCTCTGCTGGGAGGACATGGTACAAGCAGTGGGGCTTCACTCTGCCATGGCCTTTGGGGAATGGTTGCCAAGGGGGATGGGCGTGCCCCCCCACTTTCTCTCTCCCCCTGTATTCCACGAGGCAGGGTTGAGGGACTCCCAACTTGCTAGGGCTCATGGGAGTTGCAGTCCAATTACATTGGGAGGGCTGTGTTTCGCACCCCTGCCATGTGGGCCACTTTCGACCTCTGACCCTCCGTCCCTGTATTCGGTTACAAGGGCTGAAATCCTATGGCTCCGTGTAGGGAACTGCAACTCGAGTAGGCCTATTGGGATCAATGGAACCTATGGGGATGTTGACTCACCAAATCCCCACTGACTCAAGTGGTCCTTCTCTTGTGAATTGCTACGATGAGAAACAAGACTTCAGCCAGTACGTTTAGCAGGTGGTCGTACTCAATTCTGAACCAGCTGGCTGTTTCTTTTCAACTGGCCCTGTTCCCTGCTGGCATCAAAATGCCAGTATCTTTGCCCCACCTCCTGGGTGCAGACAAAGATGAGGTGAGTTCATACTGAGAAAGGTGGAAAGGCAGTAGGAAAAGAGGAAGCCCAAATACGAGATGGGCTGACTCCCTAAAGGAAGCCGCAAGCTTGAGGTGGTAAGAGCTGAGCAGGGCTGTTGATGCAGGGCGCGTTGGAGATGACCACTCGTTCATAGGGTCACCATTGAGTGTGTGTGTGTGTGTGTGTGGCTGGCTGCCTGCTTTTCTCCTGGGCTGAGCCCGCAAAATCCAAAGGAGAATTCTCGTGTGATTGTGTGTGAATCTCCAGCCCCACACAGTTGAGTTTCATAAAGAACTGGGCATTGTCACACTATGTGTGTGCGTGTGCGCGTGCGCATGTTTCTGCCCTGTTCAGTCACCATCAGAAAGTAACCGTGAGGCTCTGCAGGATGTCAGGTCTTCTTACACAAAGCTTGTATTGGACTGTTTGGTTTTGTCACCTGGAATAAACGTATTAATTTAAGGTAGAAATGTGTGTGTTTTCCTTTGAGTGGGTAAAAAGGAATGTGTTACAGGATGCTGGAGTGGGAAATGGGTGTGACTATCCAGAAGTGGGTCTTAAAACCAGAGTCTCACTGGTGATACCTTTTGGCCTCTGAAGAAAAGCTACCTGAGATGCCTTGTTTGGGGTGTGTGTGTGAACGAGTTAAACCTTCTCCCAGTTCTGTCTTCCATAACAGGTCAGCGGGTGTGACTGTTGGTTCTGACTAGCAGGAGCCCTTCTTCCAGGATGTGTAGGAGTTCTGGGGTGGCTGGCTCATCCAGACCAGACCAGCCAGCAAACGGAGCACTCCTGTTGTTGACTGCTGTAGGATTGCCTGTCTGTGTCCTTCGAAGCAACAGAATGAAATTCAGCAGGGATAAGTGCAACATACTGAACCTTGGAAAAAGAAACCAAACACACAGTTCTAAGATGGGGGAGACCTGGCTCAGCAAAACTACGAGTGAGAAACACCTTGGTTGTGGGTTTTCCACCTTGCGATCTCGCCCTTATCCCAACAATACACCCACAACAAAAAACACGCAGATCACCCTAATCACCCAGTCTCCTGAAAAGGACAGAAGCTGATCCCACAGTTACAAATACTCAACTGTCCCACAAAACTACACCAGAGCACAGACAGAGTTCTGACCCCTGGCCTCTGAAGGTGCCCACGGCGGGGGCAGAGAGACGGGCGAAAGGTTAGGGAGAACCACCTTCCAGAACAAAGACCCAACCCTGGAACCCCCGACACTCCCAAGAGAGAGAGGGGGAGAGGGAGAGGGAGAGAGAGAGAGAGAGCGAGAGAGCGAGAGAGCGAGAGCGAGCGCCTTGGCTTTCACTCTCAGCCCACCATTCCACAGCAAAGAGGCCACTCTGCCAAACATCAAAGCCAGCAGGGCCGCCTCACACCGCCCCCCGTCCTCCATCCGTCTCCAGACTGACAGCCGGACCCACGAACCGGGGACCTAGGCGGGAAGGGAGTGGCGCTCTAGGGCGCATGCGTAGCGTTCAGCTCCGCCGCCGCTGGCGAGTCGGTCCAAAGCGCGCCCACTCCGACCGCCAGCCTGCTGCTAGGCAACGTCGACCCGCCCGCGCTCCGTTGCTCTCGTCGGGGTTGGTTGGCCCCTGCGAAAAGGGCGGGACGGCTCATCGGCCGCGCCAATTGGGGGAACTTCTCCGGCGGAGGGCGGGCGAAAGCCGTCGCCCTTTGGCGCCGCGAGATTGGTGGAGGCGAGTCAGGTTCCTTTGTGCGATTGGCTGGCGCCAAGAAGGCGGGATGCGGAAATCGTGGGGGTCGCCGGCAGGGATTGGTCCGCCTTTTCCCCCTCCGCCTGTCAGTTAGCCTGTCGCCAAGGGGTCTCTTCTTCCGCCCCGGCGTGAGCCCCGCCCATCCGCCAGCCCGGAAGGGAAAGGAAGG